TGTTGTGTGAGCTGGAGTTTATATGAATGTAGGTGTAAGTCCAAAGCAAAATCCAATAGGGTTTTCGAATATATTTTTACTTGCAGTATTTTTTGAGGTGTACCTAGTAAAGCCTTAATGCCCAGGCCTTTTAATATTTTTGTTTTTTTCTCTATTTTCTATTTTTCTTTAAAATTTTACCAGAAAAATATTTATAAAATATTTGAGTAGAAATATTATGCCCACTATAATCTACTGTGAAAGCATGAAACTTAACCACGTTTGGATCACCATTTTATTTTGTAGTAAGACTTCACAATTTCAACGCGTTGTGGGTTTGTTCAGCGGTCCATTTCCATAAATTCGTGTTTTTTACTTCAAAAAAATCTTATTTGGTTTGACAATTGTCAAAGTACTGCTCTGTACTTGTAAAAACACCAAATGGCTAGCTCTTCTATATATATATATTTAATTTTATTTATATAGCACAAAGAAATATAAAAAATTTTGGAAGTGCATAAGATAAACTCAACTGTCACGGAGTGTTTAGCATTGCGTATTGCCATTTGGAACGCTTGGGCTCATATCTTTTTGTTATTTGATTTTGAATTCTTCAATTCACTTGGATCCAATATTCGCTATTTTTAGCATTTTATTGAACAATAAATGACTCTTTAGTGCAGAATTTGGCCATTGTATAAACACAAAACACAAAACTCGTTATTAAAAATTAAAATGTAAGCCAAAACTACCACAACAGCCGTAACAGAGTGAAAACGCGATGTACATATTACAAGAAATTGAAAATGAAAAGTAAAATATATATTATAAGCTTGTTTATTGAGACTGATAATAGTGTAAAGCAGCTCAAGCCAAAAAGTCGTTTATTTACTGGATCTGCTATAATATAAGCCTAACAGAAAGTGTACAAATCTAAAAAACTAAATTACAAACATGATAGCTTGAGTTATTTAACTCTGAGCGCTTTTCAAACTATGGCGATCTCCTTAGAAGGCGGGAACATCTCTTCGTGCCAGGCGGGAATTTCTCATACCATACATCCAAATTGGTTTTAATATTGCGTTGTAAATAGGACTTTGTAGTCTAGTTTTAGACCGTAGTTTTTATTTAAAAGCCAATTTAAACTAGCTGCTTTCAATTTCATGTGCAGTATTTTTGCCTCTATGTGTCTCTTCCAAGAGTGACGTCTATCTAAGTGTATACCGAGATATGTAACATCTTACTTGGGGAATGTTTATACCATCTAAGCGAATTACAGGGCATGATTGAGGTCTTAATGGTTAATTGTCTGCCAGTCAGATATGACTTAAGTATCATATAAAATTGAACAGGCAGAGCTTTATGTATTTTGTACAGTAAACCTTTATGCTAAACTTTGTCGAACGCTTGTGCTACGTCAAGAAAGATTGCACAATAGTTCTCCTTGAGCTCGAATGCCTTTCTGATTTCATTAGTTGTTCGGTTAACTTGTTCAATAGTACTATGCTTTTCGCGAAAACCGAATTGGTGATCTGGTATCACATTGTTGCGGTGGAGAAAAGGAGATATTTTTGATAGCAAAATTTTTTTCAAATAATTTTGAAAGACTGGGTAGTAGGATTATTGGTCTGTAAGACGCCGCCTGTGTGTGGTCTTTGCCTGGTTTGACTATCATTAATATCTGCAACTTTTCCCACGCGTTTGGAAAGTAATTTAATTTTAGAACAGCATTACAGAATTCAGAGAGCAATGCTTGTAGCTTTATTATCATTTTAGATGTAATGAGGTCGTGGCCTGGAGATTTCTTTGGATTCAGTTTCTGTATCGCATAAGAAAATTGATTTTTAAACAAATACTTAATATTAAAAAAATTGCTGTAAAGAAAGAGCCCTTACATTCAGTCATCTAATAAAAGATTCCACATCCAATTACTAATATTTGATTTTAACTTTTTTTCATTCTAAGATATTTTAACATATCCTTTTTTCAACACAAATTTATATGCTGCATATGTATATGTAAGGGACTCATTCGCGCAATAACACAACACATACTCGTATATATGTGAATGCAAAACACATCGATATACACTAATCTATGTTCTAATCCAACACTAATTCCCTAATAACCACTAAGTGACGCCCCCAAAGCGCTAGTCATGCAAATAATCAAGTAAATTCACAAACTAAATGCTCATGAGTTCAGCATGAGTCGTCCACCAAATGCAATTGTAGCGAACTAACGGTGTGCTCAACAATTCAACAATATGCCAATCAATTGAATGCCACCAAGTGGTTTGGTCGTAAGCCAATGAATGTAATGTGAATTTTTGACTGCCACATTTATGTACTCGTATATACATATGTACATATGTGTGGACGTAGTGTGGAGTACTTGTGTACCCTTAACTACTGTACATTACCACAAATACAAGTATTTACATACATATATACATACGTGTTGAGCCATAGATTTTCACACATTTGAGCTACAAATGGACGTGGTTAAACTAATCGGGAAATAGAAAAAAATTCACTGCCCTTTGGGGAGAAAGTAACTGTGCGCGAAATTAATTGGACTTAACGTCATTTTGACTGACTGTCTTTAGCTGTATTAAGGTGTGATTTTTTAGTGGTGTTATAAATAGGTACATTGTATATTTTTTTAATGCTTTCTCTATAGTAAAAATTAAAAAATAGCTTTTAATTTTTTATGTGTTTAAAATAAACCCAAAAAATGTTTCTCTGAAAAGCTACCATCGCAGATATGTACGCCTCAGTGTTAAAGTTATTATTTTTGTGCATTTTCGAAATATACAGCTTTATGTCATGCTGTGTTAAAAGTAGTTTTATAAATAAATATTTGAGCGTTTGCTTTGCTATAGGCGCTACTATGGATATATAATGAAATTATATAATAAATATAAACATAATAAGAATGTCTCATAAAAACTGCTCTCTGTCTCTCTCATATTTGCTAATATATTTAAATATAAATTATTATATGCTTAAGTACATTTCATGGTTCTACACAAGTGTATACTCATAGGTATGTGCACGGAGCAGCTTCATATTTAAAGGCGTTAGGCGTAGAGTGGAGGCCTCGTTCAAATTACGTCAGCAACTGTAGTCTATTCCCTAAAGCACTTGAGGCTTCACATTTATGCTAGTTAAGTTGATGTAATAAATGTCTATATACATACATACACATATATGTATATATTTAAATGAAAATGCCTCTTTGCATAATTACTTAAGTATACACCAAAGTATATAAGCATTTATATTATGTATGCATAAATTTATACGCCTCTTAAGTTTAAAAGTGCTCAGGAGACACTTTAAGCATTTTAAATAATATTAAAAACAATAACATTGCTACAATAATAAAAACATATTATTTTCTATTTTAGCTGCAGTACTTAGTTCGGTTGACTAGCATTTGGTATTTATAGGGCTTTTATATAAACTTGCTTGCGTACTTTTTTCAAGATAAAGGGGTCTCCAATAAGAGTTGTTATTTTGAATAGGCTGCTATAGCGCAAGATATCACTTGTAAAGCTGTAATTATATGACATTTGACAAGGTAGAGTTGATTTTGTAAAACTAAAACACTTTCGGTTATCGTGAAGCACCTTGTCGAACCACAGCTCAGAATTTAATGGCAGCACTCTTCCAAGAGAAGCTAGTTATGTGAAGAATTAAAACACGTGCGTGTCACTCCAGAAACACTGAGTAATTTTCTGCTCTGAGCCAAATTGGTTCCCTAATGATGCAAATTGATTCCCCTTAAAATGCAAAAAAAAATTGTCTAAAATTTAATCGAAAAATTATCTTCATTATTGAGATCCATTTCCAACTCGATAGCTACTTCAATACACAAAACTGTTGCATCTGGTGCATCTGGTTCAGGGAAACATTTATTATTGAAAAACCTCTCCATCCTCAAGTTGTAACTGTTTGGAGTAGTTTATGGTCCGGTGGGGTCATTGAATCTGTATTTTTCGAAAATGAGGTTGGAGTGACAATTTCGGTAGATAGATTGCGTTATCGGGAGATGATTAATAATTTTCAACGACCGGATTTGGATGGTTTTGATCATGACAACGTTAACTTTCAACGAAACTTCGCTACATTGCCACAAAAGCAACGAAACTATTGATCTTTTACGCGAAAATTTTCGGTTTAAGCACACACTTTCCGATTTGATGATCGAAAATTTTTCTATCTTTCCTTTCTGTCCGTCTGCATACAACTATAACTTAAGCAAAAATTAAGAAGTTCAAATAAATCGATGAAATTGGGTTCTTGGGTTCATAAGTACGGATGCTACTGCAAGTAAGTGAAGACAGTCGAAGTTCTCGCTGTGCTACCAGAGTTTGATTAGGTTTGACACTTGAACTCTCAAGGTCTAATTTAAGTAACATAGAAAGTCTTCAAATACTAATTTCATACTGTTTTTGAACTTTTAAAAAAATTCTCTTCTCAAAATGTCACTCACATTTGCTTTTAAAATAACCTTAGAAAGCTGGAATTGAAAGCAAGAAACGATGCTGTTGAGACTTAAATAAATTTGCATCACCTTTTTGATCTCCCAGATATAAATCTTTCCTCGCCACTTACGTTAAGTTAAGCTTTCAATCAATGGAAATAAAGAAAATATTAAATCTATTTTGCAAATAATTCTTGTGTACGAAAACCTACTCTACGTTAATGAATTACTATATAAATCCATATATATATAAATATCAATATAAATTTACTTTTATTTATCAGCAAAATTTCTACGAAAATCGTCTGCCTAGACGATGGCGATACGCCAACCGTTAATGCCTTGCAGCGTTGAAATGAATTGGAAAACACTTGAGAGCTTAACTCTTATCGTATTGGCAATTTTACAATGAATACATACTTATTTATGTGTATGTATGTATGCACATATTTGAATCAAATATAAACATTATCTGTGTATTATATAAAATATCATTTGCATGCAGTATAAGTAAGTCTCATTTCACTCACCTCATTATTTTCAGCATCAATTTCACTCGACTGCTGCTTCTGCTCCTCGGCTGGTTTTTGTTTCACTTGCTCCCCAGATACTAATTCAGATTTGACAACGGTCGTCGCTTTTAATGTCGGCGTTGAGGAAGAGTGTGCGGTGCGCAAGAGCAAGTGTTTATAGTCTTCCTCCTGCTGTAGCGCCTCCTCACGCAACTCTTGTATGAATACTTCGCTCTGCTGCTGACGTTCCTTCAATGCGGCCACCTCCAATTTGAGTTGTGTGAAGTCATTGCGTACTGTAGCCAAGTCCTCGTAACTTTGGGTGCGATGGCTAATGCTTTTGCTCGCCTCGCTGGCGAGTTCTTGCAATTCCACGAGTTGTTTGCGTATCTCGGCGATCGATTGTTGTAGCCATTCAACGGTAAGACGTTCCTTGTTGCCACTGAGGTGACCATCACGCAATGCAGCGACTTCACGGCTGGCGGCAGAGAGAGGGAGAGGAGAGAGAGAGAGTGAAAAAAAAGAAATTAGAATGGATGTGGAATTGTTTGAAAAATGTTATGAAAAAGGGAAAGCTATGTAAACGGAGGAAAAAATTGAAAATTGTGTGTTTGCTTTTTATAATGGCATTTTTTGCCTTCGCTTCGCAATCACTACTGCAACATATTGTTTGCTTTAGTTTTTGCTTTTACTTTTACATTGGCATTTTTGATTTTTTCTTCTGTTTACCATAATCTTTTAATAAAATATTATTCTGATATTTTTCATATCGCGCTTATAGTCCATATGCAAATCAAGCACACATATACAAAGGAAATTCCCAATACAAATTTAAAAAAAAAATTGCAATAGGAATATAGCAAAAAGCATCAGGTACATTTTACATTTAATGCGTTATATTTATTTTTTATCGTATTTTATTTACTTCTATTTTACATTACTTTATTTTTTTAATTTTATGATATTTTATTTTTATTATTTTATTTTGTTTTATATTATTTTATTTTATGTTATTAATATAAATTTAGTTTAATTTAATTTCATTTTATTTTATTTATTTAAATTAATTTTATTTCATTTTTTTATTTTGGCTAGTTTTTTTATTTTATTTTATTTCATTATATATTATATATTTTAATATTTTAAAATTTAGTTTTGTTTTTTCTTAAGTTATTTCATTTTACTTAATTATTTTGAAATATGTTTGATATATTTTATTTAATTTATTTTCCTTAATTTAATTTTTTATATTATTTAATTTAATTTAATTTATTTTTTTAAATTTTATTTTATCTTCTTTCTTTTGTGCTCTTTTATTTTGTTTTGATTTATTGTATTTGATTTCTTTTTTTTTATTTCATTTTATACTATATAATTTAATTTGTTTGAATTGTTTTTTATTTTATTTTTATTAATTCCATTCTATTTTTTTTTATATGTGTTTAACTTATTATTAATTATATTATATTATTTTATTTAATTTTGTTGTAATTTTTTATTATTATTTTATCTTTTTACATTTTTTATTTAAGCTTATTTTATTATATATAATTAATTTAATTAAAAAAAAATTTATTTACTTTAATTGAATTTCATTTCATTTTACTTTATTTTAGTTTATTTTTTTCTTCTTTTTTATTTTATCTTATACTGTATAATTTAATTTATATCAATTTCGTTTTATTTTATTTTTACTCTATCTATTTTATTTTATTTTTTTTAAATATGTTTAACTTATTTCATTTTATTTTTTTCTTTTTTTATATTATTTTATTTGCTTTACATTTTTTTATTCATTTTTTTTTAAATAATTTAATTTAATTTTTATTTTTCTACATTATTTAATTTAATTTAATTCAATTTTGTTTTATTTTGAATCAAATTTTTTATTTTTGTTTTTGATTTAATCCTCTGATCTTTGTTTTCTTTGGCTGCTGGGAGAAGATACCACATGAATATTTAAATTTAAACAGCCTGGTATTTTAATGAGTTTTTGATGAAATCCAGTATTATGTATTTATTATATATTTTATATATAGTTATATGTATTTATTATAGTTACTAAAGGATATTAGTATAATTGAAATCATTTGCTGCCTGGGTATACTCAGGCAAACATATATGTATAAAGTACTTCTAGAGAGTAGGATATTTGAATAAACATTAATTTTGTTGGCTCACTCTTTTTTTGTCTCATTCAGTCAGCTATGCTTTTGTGGATGTGTGTACACCAGTATGCGCGTGTGTGTGTTTAAAAAAGTGCAAAAAAAAGATTAAAAAAATTACTTGCCCTCAGTGCACCATCAACAAATTGTGTGTAAAACCTTGTACTTCACCGCCCCCAACACATGCCTTCAACAACCGTTTCTCAACCAATCAAATATGATATCTAACCAACAACAATCGGAACAATAATAACATCAGACCACACACTTATCTGGCCATTCGACGAAGGACGATGTTGTTTACTCACTTGAGTGTTTACTTTGAATTTGCACCAAACCAAATTGGTAGCGTCCACTCGCAAACAGTGCGCTGAGCGAACAATGTATGTAGACAGAGAGCAGGAGAAATAAATCAAATATCTGACTGAGATTGCAGCGGGTGAGAAGAGAGCAAAATCACTTATGACTTCTATGTATTGGAAGATACGAGTTGGGTATCTTTTGTTTCTTAAAATGGGTTTCTACACAAGACTGTTTTTGGAAACTCTAAACACCAACCAAAAAAATTTATTTTTTTATATTCGAGAAGCGTCAGGTGTTTGCTAAACCCGTTCACGCTATAGATATTTTGTATATATCAATATCAGTAATCTAAGCTCGCTAATAAGAATTTTTAAAGATCAGTAATCTCCAGGATTGAATTTTTTTTTAGTTTTATAACGATGTTGCGATGAATGCCGGATCTTAAATTTGATATTAACATTTTTTTTATCTTGTACAACTTAGACATGAGTAGGAAAATCTCAAGCACTCATCGCTTCTGACTTGTTATAATACTATATAATATATAATTCTCATTTTAACCTGAAGTTCAACCCTACCTACCCGAACAGCAATCAATCTGTCATTTTCATTGTGTTTGCTTAAGGTAAACTTCACTTTTGATTTTTTTTTGTATATACACGCACACCTACATAAAATTCAATAATGTCTGTTGTTTTTATTATCGTACACTTTGTGTAATTTCACTTGGAATGCCTTCGAATGTGTCCTTGCTCTCTGACCAGTAGGCACACGCAGCTTGAGTGTGAATCCTCGTGATGTTTGTGGCTGTGTGTATTTTGTTTACTTTGGCTTTAGCTATTCATAATTGCTTTTCAAGCCACTCATCTGTCGCTCTATATCTTTTCTATTATTTTGTTATGCTTTATTGCATTTTACTTACTTCTTTCTATCCACACAAATTTTACGTGGCTTATGAAAGTGAATACCGTTTTTTTTTTGTTGCTATTTTTGTTGTTGATGTTAAAAATTTAGCTTTGTCGCTAAATTGCTGATTTGTGTCTGTACTCACGCTTGCCGCTGTTGTTGGTGTTGCTTTTCATTGTCATAAATCTGGTTGTTAAAGTTTTTGAGGTGCGTAAAGCAATTTTAAGCTTTTGGTCTTTTATGTCAATTCATATTTCAGTACGTTTATTCATATTATTTTCCTTTTACATTATATACATTTTTGCGTCAACTTTTAAAATGTCTTTATAATCACCTTGTACTGCACTAAACTCAGCTGTGGAGTGGAGAAGCTTTAAATTTTAGCTTTTCCTCTCGATAGGCACTCAGCAATTTCTGCTTAAAACTTAGCGCTGTCAGTGTGTGGGTGTGTCGATGGGTTGTTTTCGTATTCTACTAAATAATTTCATTGTTTTTCCTTTGCCTTTTAACTTTCTGTTTGTTTTACATTGAAGTTGAGTCATTGTACTTAGCTCGCCGCAAAGCAATTAAAATTCGATTAAGATAAGTAATTTGTAAAACAATCTGACAATTTTATGTGGCAGATACGGTGGGGTAGTGTTTGTGGTCGAGACGAATTGCGTTGTTGTTTGAGGAGAATTTTCTGAGGTGAGATTAGGTGAGGGATCTGCAGTGGTAGACAACTTTTTAAAATATTGAATTACATTCGTAGGGAGTAGTAGATGAATGTGGGCTTGTTTATTGATATTTATTCTTTGGAAAACTGAACATAGATTTAAAGCATCGCTAATTAATTCTTTTACTGAATATCTGAATTATTTATAATTTATTTGATGTAATTATAGCACTCTGCATGTTATATATTTCTAATATTAATTTTAAAATTATTCCTTATTTTCTTACTTCTATGCGTTCTCTATCCAATTGGAATCGAAATATTTTATGCATAAACTCATGACTCTGCTTTGTGATCTCAGTTTATGTTCACCACAGAAAATTTTCGAAAAACTTAAGTTTTTTAATCCGTATTTCAATATTTTGAATTAAAAATCGACAAAAGTGATTTAACGTTCTAACAAAAATGTTAAAGATTTAAGAATTCAAAAATTTCTTTAAAAAAATTTCGAAACTCTTTTTTTTTGACAAATATCCCCTCCATACTGACGTTGAGCCCTAAATATCGTTTACAGTGATCAATGTTGATAGTCCATTTCTGTTGCAAATAGCTAGATAAAAATATTGATTAAAGTATTTATCTCAAATTTTACATTGTAAATTGAATTTTGTGTACCAAAAATATCTGAAAATATTACAGGTACCTTACGATAGATTGGCATTACCAAAATCTCCTTACTTATGAGTGCTACAGTACTTTCAAAATAAATGCGGTAAAAGATTTTACTCGCTCCGGTCGAACATTTATGGTTTTAAGTGCAGTTAACATCGCCAAAGTGAAAGAAGTTTTGTTGAAAAACATCCCTTAGATTTGTTAAAAATAATCACTGAACTTTCTGTATCTCACAAACCAATTGAAATAACTTAAACTCGACTCTTTGCCCTAAATGACCTCACTCTTTTTTCAGATATTGAAGAGAAATGTAAAGGTCGCTGAAGGCTTGCTAGAACGAGTCAATTCCGACCTCACATTCATAAAACACATTTCGATAGGTAAAAATATATGTGCTTTTTATGCAAGTCAGTTATAAATCTTTCTATCTTGGATTAAAAGTTTAAGTAAAGATGACTATTTTCTTTGATTAACACTTTTCTATTCCCATGGATCTTTTGAAATACAGTTAGATGCTTAATGAAGAAAATTGGCATTGTGCGGCCTTTGAGAAAGAAACTTCGGTGAAAAAGGTCAAAAGAAAACCAAGAATTTTGTATAACAATAAGGTGAAATTTCTTGGGGAAGAACAAGGCTATCACTGTGAGCGATTACCTGACCGAAAATCTAAATTATGCTATTCAACGTTCAACAAATTCACTTCAAACTTCGAGGAGTTGAGTTGATTTCAGAAATTGACATAAAAAATAAATAAAACATTACGAAATAATCTACAAT